GGGTGTTTTGGTTTTAAAACATAAGAAATCCCAGTGCTTTCTGTCCACAGTGCAAAGTTCCAAAGGTCCATCACCAAAGCTGAACTGATAGTGCCAGCTAATTACCCATGAAAAATATCTGATCACACAGCATTTTAGAAAAAAAATAACAACACCTATGTTTTCCCTCTAGTCTTTGGCTCATGTTCACATAAAAAAAGAAACAAGTCTGGAACACTGGAGCAAAATCCTTTCTATTAGAAGACAGTAAGACAAAACATTAATTATTTTTTCTGCATGGTATACAGAACCTGCCTCATTAATCTCTCCTTGAAAAAAAAAAAAAAAGAAAAATATGTCAGAACTCATTTTGATGACACTGCTTTGTTTCAGAGTAATTGTCAAATCAATTCTGCATTTGAGAGAATACTCCAGTAGGTATGTCTACCCCTCCCACTAGCTTTCAGCACATTTTTAGAAAGGTATTCTGTAAGACTAGACACCACACTTCGACAGATCAAAAAACACATTGTGCCAGAAAGAAAAGCACATTTTGGGCGCTAGCTGAGACAGCTGTGATATAAACAGAGATGGAAAAAAAAGAAAAATACACTTCAATTCTCTCCACAGTTCTTTGCAGCTATAAAGCCTATGAAACTGAGATTGTATTTCATTGAAACAGTAGATATATTTTTTAAGAGTAACGGTGTTTAAAAGACATTAATTTGCTTTAACTTTTAGTCAGGCAGTTTAACTTGAAGTGGTCAGGCAGTTGGATTAGATGACTGCTGCAGGTTCCTTCCAACGGAAATAATCCATTCTGTTCTCTTCATGACACCAGACTTGCTATGATCTACTTCTGTATCATTTTACAAAAAAGAAAAAAAAAAAATTACCCAACTTTGAAAAGAAATGAAGAACTAAGACTAAGACTTAGTGTGAGAATATGGCTAAATTATGCTTCCCTCTCCTGAGCTTTTATAGGGTTGTATTAGATATACAAGGTGCTTTAAAGGCAAACAATTAACAAATACATTTGGAAAGATCTTCAGTACTTTACTGTAACAGAAAGTTAAACTCCCTGTTTATCAGCATCTTGACAGGCAGATTGGGGGGGGGGGTGTTTAAAGAATGCGAAGGAACCAATCCACAACTTCTCCATTTCTTTTTCAGAAGGAATTTCATTACATGGGACTTCCTATTCTCCAGGATTCTACAGTTAGAAACAAATAAATAAGAACTGTACTCGGAAGTGGAAGAACTCTTTCCAAGAAGTTGTATCTGAACCAGATCACCGTGAATGAATGGCAAGAGTAGTCTCTAATTGCCTGCAAATGTCTTTCAAACACTGTCAGATCAGCTAGCTTGTTCCCTGGTGTCCCGCTGGACAGCAGCCTGAGCACAACAGGCATTCAACCGCACGGGGAAGCACACTGTTCTGGATTTTGCACATTACTTCGCAGTGGGACTCTCTAGAAGACCGACTGAAAATACGGTTTGAGATTATCAAACGAAACCTGAACCACAAATAAATCTAATCCTCCTGTATTTGTGTCTGATCATCAGGCACATAGAGATGGAAGAAATACCAGCTTGTAAAATTACGAAGATCCCTGGAAATAATTTCCCCAAATCCTACTTTTATAGATATATTGATGTATGAATTACAATTGATGTAGCTTTAGGAAAAGGATTAAAGCACTCAAGGACCACAAGTTTAAATGCTTTATTTCCAATGCTATCTGGAGAATACTGTAACCAGATTCTACTCAGGTACAGTGCTGCAGCTTGTGTATCCCCCTGACTTAGCACCTCATATTTTTTGTAAGAGGCTGTAACATCCCACAAACCTACTACTCTGCTATATTACAACATTTTATAAAATACAAAAACCCACTTCACTTACCAGGTAACAACAGAGACATTCTGACAACAATTCAAAACTTTAAAAATTTACTCTTAACTAGACAATAACTTGGCATCTTATGTCTAAAACAGCACTAACTCTAAACCCTCAACCATCAGTGTTGAATAGCGGCCCCTGACACCCCAAGAAAAGAAGGCTCATACAGTTAAGCCTGTCATCCAAGTGTTTCCCCAATAGTTCCCAAACCTCTTGTTCAACTTCCAAATTTTTCAGAAAAGTGTCTAATAACACACCAGGCTTTGTGAAAGTGGTTAGCAAGTTCACAAAAAAAAGCTTCCTCCCTTAGAGGCACTGATGAGTAATAGCTCCAGTTTTAATTCTCAGTATAGATTTTCTATTCCTTAAAAAATGATGTTTCTACTAAAACCACATCTCCTTTATATGCTATAATTCTTTTCTACTCCCCCCACTTCCATTTTACACAGTTCTGTCTACTCAGCAGAGTAAGCCTGAGATCATTTACACTTTCTGAAGATGTCAGAATTTCCTGTTACGTACAATTGCTAGCCCACACTGAATGACAATGTTCTAGTACTGCTGATCAGCACGAGTGGGCACCATTCTAGTGCCAGACTTTCCTGGATCTTACACACCTTGAAGCAATCCTTACTGTAACATAATGCTACTTAAACTTAAGCATTATTAATTCTGTACATTATAGCATCACTATTAGCTTAGTGTAGCGATTAGTCTTTATGAACCCCACAAACTGGCGCTGTCCCATTTAGACACTGCAAAAACCTAAGACTAAAATAAAAACAAAAATCCTTTTACCCATAAACAAGTGTCTGATAAGATTTCCAAAAAAGCAACCCATGAACTTCACCTTCCAGAACATGTTATATACTCAGAATACTTTCATGACTGCATTTGCCAAACAAAAATAAGACTTACGGAACGCAACCACAAATATGCCTCTTCTCATGATTTCAGAATCACAGAACTTTGGGAGAGAAAACAAGAACTACTTCAAACTCCAAAGTCCCTGAGCCACCTGTACTAAAAGACAACTTATTCCAATGCCTCATCAATTAACTTGACTAACAACTTGCATTTTTCAACAAAGCAGGAACTATTCCATGCAACATAAAAGCACTGCACCAGTCCAAACAATCAGAATGTAAAAACTTAAGCAGAACAAGGTTCATGGTTGTCACCCCATGTAACCCATCAATTGAGAATCACTCAAGATTCAGGCATTTTAACTGTAATACTGGAAGGTCATTCTTCCAGACAAGGCAAAAAAGACCTTATGTTATTATCTCCAAAGAGTTGCTGAGGATCCTGTCTGAACTCACATCTAGCAAAATAAACATCATCTAAGTTTGGCAGAGATCAGATAATGAAACCAAGCTGAAGAGAACCTGGTTCACCCATACTTACTTTTCTCACAATGGGCTGCTGTCCATCCATGCAGCCATACCACGTCACTAGTTTATTCCAGGCTTCAGTGGGAATCAATACATAGTCTAGCTCATCAATGAGGTGTTCTCTTAAACTCTGAGTTTCCGGATCTAAAAGGAAGACAGACATAGGAAAACATAGCATCAGACAGAATCTTATCTTCTCAAGACGTACACACATACTACCTTGACATTAAGAAATACCAACGCTCCCACGGGTAGGTAGAAACTGCACCAGTCTCCTCACTGACAAGGCCGGGACAGCCACTTACATCCTCTCGGAACACGCGGCTTCAAAAGCGAAAGCTGCACGATGAGACGACGGCACACGGGAAGTACCTACCCGAGGCCAGGCTGCGACGCGAGCACCAGGCCCCACCGCCCCGAGCC